GACCTCACATGGTTTATTTAAAACATCATCTTTTCACCACTGAATTTGCATAAGTCGGGTCATGATATATGAAGGCATCTTTTTCTGGGCTGTTTTCTTGATTTATTGCCCTATATTTGCACCAATACCACACTTTTAAAAAATTACTCTCGCTTCAAAATGACTGTTAATAGCTATTATTTCTAGTCGTCTGAATTTATTCCTCCGGCTGATCTACGCCATTTCCGTTTCCATGTAAGTCAGCTTATAAATTCCCCCCCCCATATTTTAAAACTATTTACTGGGAAATAGTCACAAGCTTAGAAAGAAACGTATCTCCATAGAATACAACATAATTGACAGTCACTAGTCTAACTGTGTTCATTGCTCCAATAACATCTTCAGTAGCATTTTGCCCCATATGGTCCAAGATCCCACTGAGGGTCACAGAATCCATTCATTGTGCGTCTTTAGTATATTTTTAAGCTAGAACAGGTGCTTGGCCTTTCATGGTTTTTCATTTTTTACATATGTTTTTATTGATTTCAGAGAGAGGAAAGGAGAGGGGGGAGAAAGAAAGAGAGAGAAACATCAATGATGAGTATTGATCGGCTGCCTCCTGCACACCCCCTGCTGGGGATGGAGCCCGAAAGGCAGGCATGTGCCGTTACCAGGAATCGAACCGTGATCTCCAGGTTCATGGGTCGATGCTCAACTGCTGAGCAACACCAGCCAGGCTTTCCTGGTCTCTTATAACATTAGTAGTTTCAATAGAGACAAGTGATTTCATGGAACGCACCTCAGTCGGGGTCTGTCTGCTGCTTCCTCCTGATCAGATTCCGGGTGTGTAATGTGGTGAGAAACCCAGTATAAGTACTATTGCTTTTCTCAGTGCATGGCCTCAGGGGCACAGTGACAGTGTGTCCTACCGTGGGCCACATTGCTCATTTGATTAAGTTGGGATCTGCCAGGTTCCTACACTGTGACGTTACTTTAAAAAAAAAAAAAAGTTAGCCCGGCCGGGTGCGGCTCAGCGGTTGAGCGTCGACCTAGGATCCAGGCGATCAGGGTTCGATTCCCGGTCAGGGCACAGGCCCGGGTTGCGGGCTCGATCAATGACTCTCTCATCATTGATGTTTCTGTCTCTCTCTCTCCCTCTCCTTTCCTGTCTCTGAAATCAATAAAGATATATTTTTAAAAAATAAAATTAAATAAATTGGAGCCAAGTTTAAGAAAAACTTTAGGGTTTTCCTCCTTCGTGGTAGCCTCACATTTCTGTTTTTGTTAATCCTCTCATGGGGATATTTTTCCATTGATTTTTAGAGAGAGTGGAAGAGGGGAGAGAGACACATCGATGTGGGAGAGACACATGGATTGGTTGCCTCCCACATGTGCCCCGACCGGAGGCAGGGATTGAACCTGCATCCCAGGTACATGCCCTTGGCCAGGAATTGAACCCATGACCCTTTTTTTTGGGGGGGGGGCTCTAACCATTGTGAAACACCAGCCGGGGCTGAAATGGCTGCTTTTGATAACCTAATGTTGTCATTACTCTTAGAGGGGAGACAATTTACTGAGGACTCCTCACCTCTGGATAATAGGTTATACGGTCACTTCACCTAAAGGTCAGCCTATGACTCGGGCTAAGCCAGCTGTCACCACATGGGGGGGGCGGTGTTCCTAGTGTCTTTATGGTAAATTTGGGTAGGTTTGTAATAACCCTGAAGAATTTCATTTGTAAACTTTTATAAAAACTTTCTGTTCTGGTTGGTATCCCCAGCCTTACCCAAAGAGGTCCCACCGCGTCCCCTCCACCCTCTTCTCGTGGCCTGAACTCCGGTCACCGGCCTGGGACGCGCTAGCTGCGGGGGAGGCCCTGGTAGCAGCAGGAAGAGTGTGGAATAAATGGAACCTCAATTAGTACATTGGCTCAATCAGAGCTCATTTCGAGTCTCCCTTTCTAAGGTCGGATGTCACAAAAATATCGTCTCTGACCTTTGGTTTTATATGTCTTTTGACATGAGCTCAGAAAAGCTGAGGACACCCGTGTCCTAGGCCTTCTGTGAGGGAACACGTAAGCGGTAAATAGTTCGCAGTCACACGTTTCCATGAAGAATCCCAGCTCACTTCAGAATAAGCTGCAGATGATCTGATTTGGGGTTGAGAGAGGCTATTGAAAACGACAGTGACAAACAGATCATCACGCAAACCTTCCACGACCTGAACCCCGTGTGCGCTGCGAGAGCGTCGCCCTACCGGGCCCGGACCCAGCGAGTGGCTGCGCTCATCAGCTCCATTCACATTCAAACACCCGCCGGTCTGCTTAAGGGCACCGCTCCTCCCAGATGTGTTAGCAGATAAAAGAGACATTAGGATTAATTTTTAAATATTTAAAATACCGTTTTCATTGCGAGAACTGTGGCATCTCCAGTTTTTCAAAGAAAGTTCTTTTTGATTTGAAGGTAATTCTTACGGTGGAGGCTGATGTTGATTGAAAGCGGGTGTTACGCCTTCCTGGGAGGCAGACCCCCGCCCGATGCCGTAACCACTGTCATTGGCGTCTGGGCTCTGGAAGGAGCCATCACAGCAAGATGCTCGGCTCTGGGGGTCCCCCCCCCCC